TAAAAAGAAAGAAACCAAACAGCACAATTGATGACATGTCATGACATATTAGATTTTCTTATAAACTTTTTAAATGTCAAAAATAATAGCTGAGATTAAACAAGAATTATAATCAACTGTTCAGATTTAAAACATTATCGTAGTCGAAAATAATCAACCATAGTCGATGACAATCGTAGAAGCTTTGATCTCATCATTGATAACATATAATTAGCAATATCAATTTTCAAACCAAAACCATTTAAGTGCCCGAAACCAACCGATCCAAATGAGAACCAACCCGATTAAAAACCGATTATTTGAAACCGAAAATCAAACCGTATTTTAGTTAACCCGAAATCGAACCAATCCGAACAATGTTAAACCGTGTTAGTGCCGAACCCATTAACGAACCGAACCAGTTCTAAACTGAATTGAAATTGAACCGAAACCAAAAAAGAACCAAATTGTTGTTAATCTGAATCGTTTCTAACCCAAAATCGTTTGATTGGGTTAAAAAATTGTTTACACCGAACCACTTATAAAACGAACCGTTTACAAAACGCTTACTTTTATTGAATTGGTAGTCTTAATAGAATTAATCTTGTCATCTTAATCTAAACGTATGAACTATAAAGGGAAGATTAGAATCATATAAAATGTTAATATGCCCACATGTTTACTACGGAGTACATTATTACTAAAGTATCGGTTAAGTTAGTAATTAGTTCTTTGATCAAAAAAAAAAAAGTTAGTAATTAGTTCATTGTTAATTTATTTTACTCATAAATGATTTTAGACTATGTTCATGCATCGTTAATTTTTTTTTTTTTTGATAGTGTTCATGCACATTATTATTTCATTAGAACATTTTTTTTTTTTAGAAATCAAAACAACTATAGAAGAAAAGAAAGTATTGAAAGTGTTAAAATTGATAATGTTGAAATTGAATAAATTACTAGATGAAAAATATACAAATAGAAAGTAATGAAATTAAAATTGTCATTTTGGAAGTAAATTTTAGGATGGTAATAAATAACTTTAGTTTGGAAGTGAAAGGTTAGAAAGGACCGTCAAATTTCAAACCAAAATTGTTTAATTGCCTTAAGCCGATTCAGCTAAATGAGAGATGAACCAATTAACAATCGATTTTTTGATACTAAAACCGCCCCGAACCATATTTTAGTAAACCTGAAATTGTACCGATCCAAATAATGTTAAACTGTATAAGAACGAAACCATTGTTAACACAAACTGTTTCTAACCTAATACAGTTTGAACCGGGTTAACAACCATTTACCTCGAACTGTTTATAGACCGCAACCCATTTGTAACGAACCGCTTACTACCAAACCGAATTAAAACTACACAAAAGTAAATAAATCGAAATCGAACCAAACCGATAGTAATTTGAACTTAACAAAACAACTCGTAGGTCACTAGATCCGAATTTAAACCGACCCGTTTTAAACCTAACCGAATTCGAACTATTAAACTGTTTTGACAGTGCTGCATATAATGATTTTACATAAATGTGCACCACACATTCACAATACTTTTTTTCATTTTTTTAAAAAAAAGTGAGCACAATGACAATAATGTACGCAAAAGAGATTCAATTTCCATTTTTGAGTAACACTCCCCAAAAATATAATCAATTAAACTAGTTAACATTCGATTAAAGTAAATATCAGATAGTGTTTGATCAACTGTATGTCTAGAACTCTAGATATTTGCTCTCATTTTAAGATTAAAAACCACGTGACAGAATACCAGTTTGCGGCTCAGCAAATGTGTCGAACTCCCGCAGTTATATGAGTACACATGCGGGTCCCTTTCTAATCACTGTTTAAAGAAGTCAACCATTAATGAACAGTGTGGTCCATTTTATTGACCTCGTGCTGTATACATATGATGACAAATGTTGTAAGAAATGATTTCGAATTTCAATATCGTTTTTTTTTTTTTTTTTTTTTTTGTAAAAAAATTTATGTACATTGTAAAAAAAGGTAGAATGAGAGCTGAGTATTATATACCATATGCATTGAAATATGAAGTTTTTAATTTGTCCACAAAAAGAAGGAAGAATAAATTTGACTTTTTTTTTTTTTCTTTCTTTTTTTTTTTTTTTTTTTTTTTACTATAATAAAACCATATGTTGATTGGACTAATTTTATCATATGTGGTCATATTACTATAACTTTTTGAATTTTATATTAATTGAGAATTAAAGAATCTTAACAGTTAATACTATTATACATTAGCAAACATTCTACTTAATCAAAACATTACAATTTCGGAGTATTTTGAAGCAATAGAAGTAACTGAAAACTCATATTACATACATAATTATCTAATTATAATAATGTTGAAAAACAGTCAATCAAGCTTAACTCTGTCAAAAAGTTATCTGATACGAAAAAATCATATCTAACTCGACAGTAAATGTTGATTTTCATGGACACAACAATTTAATATTTAGCATGACCCAAATCAAAGTAGTGACTCAGATTAAATCAGATCGATAACCTGAATTGACTCCTACATAATTTATCGTTCTTTATATTATAACAATAAATAAATAAAACCCGACTACCTCCCTTCTTCCACCACCGTCGACCTCCCCACTCCCCACAACCACCATCGAAACCCTACCCCTGCCTTCCTCCACCATCGCCTGCCATCCATCTATTTTCCCAACCTCGAAACCCCCCATCTGTGGTAGGTTCATTGTGAGCCACCCACATCTCCTCCCCTCCCCTCCCCATACCAGTACACCACCCCTCCCCTTCCCTAGCCCGGAACCATTGCCCCACTTCTCTCTCCCCCTCTCACATATCTTTAATGTTTTGATGCATGGGGAGGAGAGTAGTTTCATTGCCAGTGGTCATGTAATGAAGGCGGGGAGGGAGCAGTTGCATTGCCAGTGGTCATGTAATGAAGGCGGGGAAGGGGAGAGGAAGGGGATGTGGTGGCTAGGAGGAGGTGGTGGTTTAGGGGTGGGGGCGGGGGTGGAGGGGCGGTTGTTGACCGGAGTCAAATGGGTGGGAAAAAAAAAAGAATTACTTATTAGTTAACCGGTTATAGGTTAATTAGGCTCAAAGAAAGCAAATGAACCCCAAATTAAATTTCGATTATTTAAAAATATTTCAAATTTGGGATTATTTAAAGCCAACAAGTGAAAGTTCATACTATTTTCCTATAGGTAATATGTTTTTTGATGTCAATGATTTATTTTTTTTTTCTAAAATCTAGAATATAGGCTAATATTGAATTGCTATATATAATTAAGGTTTTCAATATCTTAATCAAAATTTTTAACTTTATCAAAAGTGTAGATATGTATACTTTTTTTTTTCTTCTAAAATCTAGAATATAGGCTTATATTGAATTGCTATATATAATTAAGGTTTTCAATATCTTAATCAAATTTTTTAACTTTATCAAAAGTGTAGATATATATACTATTCAAAATATATATATATAATAGACATTATCTAAAATAATTATATTAGCCTTTTAATAAGTAATCCCTTCATTACTTTTGTATATATTAATTGATTACATTTTGACTTTGCATATTTGCCAATGCACTTATTTAACCATTAATATTATCTTTCATTGCATACTTGTTAAAATTATAACGATTAAATATTAATAAATTATTCGTTGAGACGAGTCAAATAAAACCTCACATAACTATATTATTTGTATCTTATATATTGAAAAAATATTTAACAAAGTAGAAGATTTTATCACTTTATAGACAACGTCAAGAATCAAATCGTAACCAATTAAAAGCAACAGTGGAAGTTATTAATTGATGATTGATATAAGCCCGGAGAAGATATTTGTGATTTAAAATCACACCCCTTTGGGTATAGCTAATACTCTCTAGTAGTCCCTAGTATTACCAAAGAATGGGCTTTTGATGTCCCACTAGTTCCCAACTACCAATCTAACAAACTTACCTCACAATTTTTTGTATGCGGTCTGTTGTACCGTGCGACAGAGATTACTCGAGTTACTTGGTCAGGGGTTACTCAAGTTGCCGGAGTTACTCAAGTTACTCAATCAGGGGTTACTTGAGGGGTTACTCGGTTAGTAACCCCTGACCGAGTAACCCTTCGAGTAACCCCTGACCGATTAACCCCTCGAGTAACCCCCGATTGAACCCTCGAGTAACCCTTGACCGAACTCCTTAAGTAACCCTTGATCGAATTACTCGAGTAACCCCTGACCGAACTCCTTAAATAACTCCTAACCAAGTAACTCGAGTAACCCCTGACCGAGTAACTCGAGTAACCCATGACCGGGTAACCCCTAACCGAGTAACTCGAGTAACCCCTAATCGAGTAACTTGAGTAACCTCTGACCGAGTAACCCCTCAAGTAAACCCTTGATCGAGTGAACCCTCCGAGTAACCCCTGAACCCCTCAAGTAACCTATAACCGAGTAACTCGAGTAACCCCTGACTGAATAACTCGGGTAACCCCTAACAAAATAACTTGCGTAACCCCTGCACACGGGGTGGCCTGCTGCACCAAAAAGTTAGTAAACTTACCTAAGGTTATGTTTGAATTGCTATAATTAAGGTTTTCAATATCTAATTAACTTTTTCTAACTTTATAGAAAGTGTAGATATAGAATAGAAATTACTTAAGTAATTAGCACAACAAAAAAAATTATATTTGCATGTCATTGTTGGTATGTCTTTTAATATATACTCTCTTCGTTCCTTTTTATTGATTATTTTGATGTAGCATATTTGTCAATACACTTGTTTGATCATCAATATCTTTCATTGGATACTGATAAAAATTATAATTATTGAATACATAATAAAGTACTTGTTGAGACAATTCAAATAAGACCCCTCACACGACTATAATATTCATGTCTCATATATTGGAATAAATTAAAATATTTCATTATTTTATGAATAATTATGTCAAGAATCGAAAGATAACCAATAAAAAGAAACCATGAAATAGTTATTAATTGATGATTGATATAAGCCCGAAGAAGATATTTTGTGATGTAAAATCACAAATCACGCCCCTTTGGGTATAGCTAGTAGTAGTCCCTAGTATAACCAAAGAATGGGCATTTGATGTCCCACGAGTTCTCAACTACCAATCAAACAACTTACCTTTATATCTTCTTTTTTACCCTATAAATAACCATTCATTATTTAGCTCCGACATATCTTCATCTCTCTTATACTCCTTGAAATTGACAACTACCAAAACTCCAATTAAAATGTCTTTCAACCCTTTTCATCTCTTCATTTTCTTCTCTCTTTTCCTCTTCATTTTCTCAATATTACACAAATTTAATCCAACATTATTCTCAACAAAACATTCTAAAACTACAATATCACACGGTCCTCCTTCTTACCCTATTATTGGTTGCCTTATTTCCTTCTACAAAAACAGGAGGAGGCTCTTAGACTGGTACACCGACCTCCTCTCCATGTCTCCTACTCAAACAATCGTAGTGAGCCGGCTTGGAGCACGTAAGGTGATCGTAACAGCTAACCCTGAAAACGTCGAATACATTCTTAAAACAAACTTCCCTAACTTTCCAAAGGGTAAACCCTTAGCTGAAATTTTAGGTGATCTTTTAGGTAATGGTATATTTAACGTTGATGGCGAGTTATGGGCGAATCAAAGAAAGTTGGCGAGCCACGAGTTTACGACTAAATCGTTACGAGAATTTGTTGTAAAAATTTTGGAAGAAGAAGTTGAAGGTCGACTCATTCCTTTGCTTCAACTTGCTGCTCATGAAAATAGAATCATTGATTTACAGGTAATTAAGCTGTAATTATTTGTTAATTAAGCATGTTAATTACTTATATATATATATATATATATATATATATATATATATATATATATATATAAAAAAATATATATATATATATATATATATAAGCTACTTGGTACTTGTTCACTGTTTTTTATACTAATAAGATAATTCTGCCATAATTTAATACCGATATTTTGAGATCTTTATACGTCATGTTCATGTATAATTGATTCTTTCCTAAATTAAAAATATGTTAGATCATTTAGAAAATTGTGAATCTAGACAAATAATATATGAAATTATTAATCATATTATAAAGTGTAGAAGGTAAGATTTTCTGACTTGGAAGATATACTTTTCTACATCGAACTTTGTCTTAAGAAGATTGTGATTTTATTATGGTGGATTGTTATTTCGTTTGAAATTTATACAAAAATAAATGAGCAAAAAATTATAAAATTTTCCTTAAATGAACATATATTTTAGACACATGATTGTATATAATAAAGTTTTTGAGGAATAAAAAAAACCATAATTTTTCACTTCAATGGGTAATTCCCATTAGACATCATTAGACACACTTATGGGTAATTCCCCTTATCCCCTTGGTCTAAGATGGTGAAAATCCTTCTTTATATTCATCCCCCAAGTCCTTGAATATGCCCTTGAAGTGAATAAATAAAATTCTTTTGTGTTTCATCCTTTCTACCAACTATTTTCGACATTAAATTAACTATAATACACGTAGAACATCACTTATACTTTAAATGTTGGACATAAAATACTGGTGGCATCACCCGAATCAGTCACTAGTATAAGTTATAAAATAGAGTGTATTCCACCTATCCACTTCACATTTTAAGTTTCAAATAAATAAAGTAAGTCATATGATTATAATATGTAACAAAATCGGTAGGAAGTTCGGAGATTAGTTGTAGATATGAATTCATTGTAAATGGGTATATAATGATTAAACTAAGATCGATTTTGAAGATATATGAGAATTGATATTTTTAACTAGTAGAATAAAACATGAGAATGGATAAAAGTTTCACAAAGGCACTAGTTTTGGCTTGAACCGGTGCCTTTAATGTTGAAAAGACTCCGATTTAGAATCAGCACCTTTGTGAACCGTGAAGAGCACCATTTCAACTAGTGATTGTACAAGAAAAAGTGTGGTTCAATGAAAATAAAAAGTTTATTAGTTCCTACAAGTTCTTTTTTTTTTTTTTTTTTTTTTTGTGAGGAAATCCTACAAGTTCATTTTGTTAGCTTTGGATTTAAAATTTGAAAGTAGCTATATAAATAAATAGTTGCTTTGTAAGAATAGTCATTTAATTGTAGCAAGACCCTAAATTATACATAAAACATGAATCTCAATTTCTATTTTATGTTGTGAAGAAAATAAAACTTGTACTCCATAAATGTATGTGCATGTATACTTTTTCCTCATTGAAAGTTTTGCATTTGAGTTATAAAATATATGAATAAGACGTTCTAAATAATTCAATATAATTAAATTACCACTAGATCAGGCGATACAATATTATAATCCTACCTTCTATTCGTGATAATTTTTAAATAATGCTTTATCTTCCCTTTTTTTTTTTTTTTTTTTTAAAGAAATGCTTTATCTTCCCTTAGTTTCAGAGAAATTGCCATTTTGGTAATCCATTGACTACTTCTATACTTAATTATGTCAACAATAGCATGCATCTAGATGAATCATTAGACGAGCGTTGATTTCAACGATCTAATTAATCTATTATTAAATCATGAAGCATTAAACAATACTATATTCTATTGTCAAACTATAATTTAGGGATTTGGGGAGGGGGGTTGGGGGGGGGGAGAGGGGGGTGTTTGAATTTAATAGTCAAATTTTGCTTTGGTTGGACAAAAGCGGTCAAATGTGATATATTAAACACAAATTGTCAAAGTCTTAAGCATTGCATAATTATATTCTTTATTTGATTTAATACGAGTACAAAATAAAAAAAATAAAAATAAAGAAGCTATTGTATAGTAAATTGGAAGTTGGTTGTTAGAACTTATATGCAAGGGATATAAAAATCATGTTTTGTTCAATTTATTTTTACTTTTCTAGGAAAAAAAAGTTCTTATAAGATAAGTTTAAGAAAAATAAGTTTTAAGGGTTATAACGAGTATCGAAGTTTAATTTACAATTAAAATAAGGTCCAGTAAGTTTAGAGAAATACAAATAAGTTCAAATATATATAAAATAAATTCAGACAATTTTTAATAAAATAAAATGAGGCTAGATAAATGAAAATTAGATGAATAAAACATATTCTAAGAAAGAGATTGAATACATAATGTAGATTATTCATAAAATTAAGGTGATTGATATTTATAGGGTATAAAGATATATCAAAATTGTTCTGAGTTAGTGCAATAATGGAAAGATGCATGTAGGCTTTAGATATTGCACTAACTCAGATCAAAATTAATCAAGAACACTTAATTAGGTAGATTAATTTAACCATCGGACAAATATTCTGCGGTTCAAAATCGCAGCAAATACTTCCAAAAAATTAAACCGCAATATAAGTCATTTTATCCACTAGTGAATCTTGCAACATATACTCCATCACCATTTTTTTTTTTTTAATGGAGAATAACGTTAAATAAGTAAATATTTAGATATTCCATTCCATTACATTATATGGAGGGAATCGTAAGCAATATTTTAGATTTCAACTTTCATTGTCAAATTAGGTAAAAAAAAAAGTGTTTATACATACAACTCGTTACCATCATATATACATCACTCATCTGTTGGGGAAATAAAATCAAAAAAAAAAAAAACACTCTCACAAATTCCCTATAAATCATACTTTTAACAATAATGGAAAGATGAATGTTGACTTTTTGATTACTTCGTATTACTTCCTCCGTTCTAGTAATATTGCAACAATTGGACTTTTGCACTATTTATCATGCTTGTTTGACCACATATTATGATTTATATAATAAGTAAAATATATTCACATGAGATCTTGTTAGATTCATCTCGTAAAATACTTACACACTATCAACTTTTTATAATTTTTACTCTTATACAATTATACATACTTAACATATAAAATGTGCTTTGAGATGCGTAATTTTATCCTTGTTACAATATTAATAGAACGGAGAAAGCATTTGTTTTACTGTGAAGAGCTGCACGACAAGTTCCCAAATAAAAAAAAACAAAAAAACTTTAGTTATCTATTAACTCATACTATTCACTAACTAGTGAGTAGTGACAAATTGTAACTAACATATGTTTAAAAGTGTCTTAAAAGGGGGTGAAATTGATCAATTAATTGGCATTAATAAGGCTGGATTGAAGTACTAGCTTTAGCTGGAAAAATAAGATGGGAATTAAATTAACACCTTAGAATTATTATATCATTGTTTTTTTAATATAAGGCACTTGTATTGCCAGATAATTCTAATTTTTTAAGGTATCTTTAATATTCAGTCTTACTCACCTTATTATTTAAAATATCTGAGATGTGTCATCATATATAGCCTTGTATATTTAGTTAATTCGATTTGCTGTAGACCCCATCTCTTTCCTTCCAACTGTTGTTGTTACCTAACTTGTTAAATTAACCTTTTCCTTGTTATTTGATCACGAACCAAAAATAAAGAACCTAATCACCTTCAAATATCTACTATGTATGGTTTAGATTAATTTAATGATACATTGTTCTTATTGACATTACCATTATCTCTAACAATATCTTCAAAAGTGTTAAAATTTTGTTTTTATTTGTATCCGATATGTTAATTGCATTAGAATTTCAACAAATGCACTCATTATTATTAACTTTTTAACCTTTTTTTTACGTACAGGAAATACTAAAACGATTCACGTACGATTCAATATGTAAAGTCTCCTTAGGGATTGATCCAAACTGTCTAGACCTCTCAGCTCCCATCCCACCGATCATTACCGCCTTCGAGAGCGCGGCCGAGATCTCGGCTAAGCGCGGTGCTAGTCCAATCTATATCATATGGAAGCTCAAGCGAGCTCTTAACCTTGGCTCTGAGAAGCACCTCAAGCAATCCATCAAGACACTTCATAATCTTGTTAGTGACATCATTTGTACTAAGAAAGAGTCACTTGCTAATTCAGAAGAGGCAAATAATGATGACCTCCTCTCTCGATTTCTCTCCGCTGGCTATGACGACGATCTAGCTAGGGATATGGTGATCAGTTTTATTTTGGCCGGTCGCGATACAACTGCGGCTGCAATGACATGGCTTTTTTGGCTTTTATCATCGGTGAACCTCGCTGCTCGGGAGAGTATTAGGACTGAATTGGCAACTGGAACCGATTTGAGTTCGAACCCACTAGGGTATGAGGTATTGAAGAGAGAAATGAGATATTTGCACGCTTGCATATGCGAGGCAATGAGGTTGTATCCTCCAGTTCCATGGGACTCAAAGCATGCCCTAAACAACGACGTATTACCAGATGGGACTAGGGTGAGGAAAGGAGACCGTGTTACATACTTTCCTTACGGTATGGGAAGAATGGAGGCTATTTGGGGGGAAGATAGTTTAAAGTTTAAACCAAAACGCTGGTTTGAAAGCCAAACTGGGGCTAACAACTCACTTTCAGACGAAGAGAACAATGAAAATAATCATACAAAAAAGTTAAAGATGGTAAATCCCTACGAATTCCCGATCTTCCAAGCCGGACCTAGAGTATGTCTTGGAAAAGAAATGGCATTTATTCAAATGAAGTATGTCATAGCCTCAATTATAAGTCGTTTTAATTTTGAGCCTGTTAACTGTGAATCTCCAATATTTGTGCCCCTTTTAACTGCCCATATGGCTGGGGGCTTGAAAGTGAGGGTGAAGGAATTTATGAATTAGGTAATGTGGAGAGTTGTCGGATGTTCCACAATCCCATTATTGTATTGATAAAAATAAAAAAAAATTTAAAAAATAAGAAAAAAAAAAAAGACAAAAAATGGGGAAAAAGCAAAAAAGGAAATCAATCATAGTCATTTTAGGGGCATGTCCAACGTCATAAGAAATTTTTGCATGTGGGTAATATGAGTTGTCCTGCATAGTTTGGAGAAGTATGTTACAAAGGTAGGGCATAGACTTGGGTACAAACAATTTTAGGTTTCATTTTTCAAGTCAACTCAATGTTTAGATCTATGGCGTTTTCCCAAAGAAGATTTTTCAAAGGGGGTTTTCATTGCCTAATTTGGCTTTTTTGTATTTCTGTTTAAGTTTGTACTTCAAAAATGAAATGTAGGCCATGTTTCATAAATCGCTTCTAGAATTGGTTTTAGCTTTTTCATGTGATCAAATAACTAAAATTTATGTTTGGTTAATGGCATTTAGTTGCTTAAAAAGCTATCTTTTAAGCCAAGATGTAAAAGTTAGTAGGACTATTTTGCTTTTGAAGTGTAAATTTTAATAATTATTACCAATATACGAGCAAAAACATATATGATAAAATAAGTGAACTGTAATATTGCAAAATAACTAATTGTGCAATTATTCAGAAACGGATAAAGTATAAGTGTTTGTATGGTTTTTATCAACTAAAATATTTCCATGTCTAGGCTTGGGTCTACTTGTACCCATCTCATACCGTTCCCTACTTTAAAGACAAGTTTCTCATTAATGGCCTACCAATACAGGTTAGCTAATTGTCTTTTGTAATATTTTTAAGAAGCCCATTGTATTAGTTTGGGGTATCCCTTGTGTTTAACACAATCCTATTTAAGGATACAAAATTGGACTTTATATTTACCATGACATTTACTTTGAAATGATTAAGCACTCTTTACACGGGAATAAAAGACATTTTACAATTCTAAGAAAAAAACAACATAATTTACTGCTATTGAATTATTGTTACAAAATTTTTATTGCCATTATAATTTTAAAATCGCAGGCAAAGAAGTTACATGTTAAATCTACACCACTTGTTTATGCCCGGTTCTCTTCCTCCTTAAAAAAATTTAATTCGGTAAAAATAATTTTAGTTTATTAAAAATAATTTCAGTTCAGTAAAAAATAGTAACTTTAAAGAAGAAATATTAATGAATCAGTAAAATTAATTTTAATTTAGTAAAAATTATTCAGTTTATTAAAACTAATTTCTGTTCCTCCAAAAAAAAAAAAAAAAAAGCAAAAATAAAGTGAAGCTCAAAGCTCAAATTATCTTCCCCTTTCCCTCCCTCTCGTTTTATTTCTTCAGTCTTCTCACAAGTCACTACTGCGTGAAAGCTCAAAGCATTTATCAAACTTTATTGTCTTGTTCTCATTCATCTTCTTAACTTCCACAATAATTCTCTCATCAACTCTTACGCACTCCCCTCTCTCCATTGGAAACTTTCGTAATATGTTAATAGTGGTAATTTTACGGCATCATACGAATTTCATCCTATCAGTTTGTGTATGTAGGAAGACGTAAGATGTCTATCTTGCTAATAAATGTAGTTTAGTACGGAGTAACTATTACTTATCAATATAATCTGAAACTGCAAATTCTATGCGGTTAAACCATTGATATATGATTTTGCTTGTTTGTCGGACTATTATTTTTAACAAATATACATACATATTCAATATTCTACATTCTTTGTAGAATATTATGCAAAAGCAAGAAAACAAATCTTATCTCCTCAATTAATGTATTTTCCTATTCTATTTTGTATATTTAACATTCTAAGATCGAAGAAGATTCAACCTGTTCTTGTGTTGCTTTTGCTCCCACATCTACTAGAAGACTGGAGAAATTCAACCTGTTTTTGTTATGCTTTCGCTCCGATATCTACAAGATGATCAAGCAGATTCAACCTGATCTTGTGTTGATTTCGCTCCTAGATCTACTAGATCCCAGTCGTGGCAAATACTAGAAACCTAACCTTATTCATTTACCCTGTTTAAACCTTCCTGAAGTTTTTGAACCAAACTTACATTTTTCCTTCTTCTGTGCACAGAACAGGTTGAACCTCAGACCAAACCAACCATAGCATTTTACATCTTTATGGACTATGCGGTGTTCTCGGTGTATGCGTGAAGTGAATCCTCGTTACTCATGTCAGCATTCTCACTTCTGATATCTCCAGGTAAACTAGCATGTGGCTTACCATCTCTTAAAACAGGGGAGACAAAATGACGGATTCCTATTTCTCAATGATATCCCACGATCGCAGCATTGTTCGCCACTACCCGAAAAGCAAAAGATTCGATGTCTACAAAGCAGAGCGACCTCGTCTTGCTTGCTTCTTGCGAAACTTCCTACACTAGAGAATGGCCATTCCGGTAAGATCTGGAGTTTTTCGAGAAAAGGTCCCATCCTTCAATATCATACCCGCCCTGGCAACTGGAAAAGTAGGAGGAACCCGTACAGCATCATGCAACATGCCCGCGTGAGAATTCGAAGAGGATGAGACTTTCTTACCGGCTCGAACCCTAGCCCGTACGCTTGCTGGTCTCTGGCTATAGCCGACGATTGAGCAAGAGAACCTGGATCAGCAAGAGAGCATCTGTTGAAGTGCCCACATATATAGAGTCAAAAAATATATTGAGTCCGAATTATAGGCTAGGGCCTTGAACTCAGAGATAACAACCCCTAGGATCTGAGGATACCCGAAAACCCAACCTCCCAAAAGGGTTCCCCGTTCTTTGTTCCTCTCTCTCTACTTTGGTAGAGCGGTCGGCTGTTAACTGACTGGTCGTAGGTTCAAATCCTACACCAATGATGGATCGAGCCAGGCTGAGGTACTCGCTTGCGGACTTGTTGCACTTCAACGAGATGGGCCACCAAAATGCAGGTGCTGCACCAAACGCTGGTGAGAAAGGACGAAGCACATTGAAGTTGATTGCCACCTGGCTACAGTCCCAGTAGTCACGAAGCCAGTTCCGGCTTGGCTTCTTGGGGAAGCGTGGTAGGTCTTGAAAAGCCTGATAGAGGCAGAAGCCGGGGTCATCAATACCTAGGGTTGCCCTTTTTCTACTTGCTTAGGATCTATCTGGTCTTTTTCTTTCTTTTTTCTGCATGGCATAGCTAGGACCCTTCTTACACGGTAGCAACCATGATAAAGATTACTTTTCAATTGAAGAGATACATACAAGAATCAATACAACAAATGCGGATGTGAAACAAAGCACTCACACGGTCACACCTCTTCTGTTGATGGCTAAAAAATATCACAATTTCTACAATCCTAGCTATTACATTACTCATGATGTGAAACTACAAAAAATGAACTAGTTATTTAACGAAGAAGTAGGACATTAAAAGGAGGTTACTAGCTGACATTTTAATCTCATTCCAAACTAGAGCTAGTAACAAGAGAATAAGAATACGCATGCTCAGAATACTGCTAGTAATACTAATATTTCCTTATGAGATACAAGGCAGTTGAAGTCCTCACTTCATCTCTGTGATAATATTGACATGCTATCTACTCTAGGGTGCTAGTATCTTTTGAACAAAAAAGCATCTCACATTATGTTTTGTGACGCCAAAAATAGAGGTCCAATCATCAGTATTCAACATGCAATAACCTTGTACCTAATTAGATATCACAAATCATGTAGCTCCTGCAGCATCACCTCCACTGGCAGTTTTGCGATTCACGTAACGCATAACAGCATCTTCAACCCTAGAATGAACAAACAAAAATTATCAGAACAATAATCAAGCAACCAGACCATTAGAAGAACGAAGAAACAAGCATTGCAACTTCCTTGACCCCAAACATGTTCTTTTCCACAACAACCAGCCTACCGAAATTGTTTCACAATCAAGTCAACCCAAAGCAAAATCTTACAATAACCTGAGAGTAGATAAATCTTTCTTTGCAACCGCAACTACATAGTAATCCCTCCAGCTCCTAGCACCTTTAAAGCTTAATCAGATACTCTTTGCTACTAGTACATATCTTACCCAAAATTAGGGCAATTCGCTTTTTGATTAATCAGCTGAAATCATAGCAAAAAGCACATTGCTCAGACCCAAAGAGTCCAAATGAGACAAAGATTTCAATACCAACAGAATTATATGGTTTTTTTTTTTTCCTAGTAGTCAGCTATATGGCTGAGAACTGATCATCAGCCAGGCAATCTCCCAGCCAAAGGTGATTAATCAATAATCAAAACCTTGCTACTTAAGTGGCTGCCTGAAATACTGAACAAGGGTCCCAAACCAACTGCCTCTCTTTCTTCTCTCTCTCTCTCGAGCCAACAGTTCATCTTTCTGTCTTCTTCTGCTTCCAAGTTTTGCTAGCAATACTCTTTTATCTCCCCTCTTTCTTCATTGGCCACCAAGGAGCCCTACCTAGTATTGAGCTCACGATAGAAGAGTCATCACTTCACCAATGCAACCTAGTTTTGCATGAGGATGAGAGACTGGGAGAGAGGTGACTAGAGGAAGAGGGAAAAAGGAGACTCAAGGTAAAAACTACTCTAATTAAACCCACACTTGAAGCATGGAGAATTCCTTCACCCTAAAATCATCCCATCCCCACCCTTACCCCCGATCACCCACCCAAATTTTAAAAGTTCCAATCACTCCTGACCATGAGAAAAAATGACACATTCTTTCAGTCCACCATAATTTTCTACACAATTTACGCAATTAGGTCGCATACTTAGAGCTTATGTAAGTGTTAACACTTCAGAAAACAAAAGTATGCCCAATCCCAATCAACGGTCTTATAAGGCTGAATAGTCGATCCCTTTCGGTAACCCCCAAGCACTAGGAAAGCACATTGATTGAATGGGACTTCTTGGAAGGTGGATGATCCTACACTAGTACATTCTAGTACTATGTTATTGAACGGAAGCTTTGATAGACAAAACATACGTGAAGAAATAAAAGGAAAAATTGATAAATGGGTACATTAACACAATTAAAAAATCATCACTAAGGAGAGTACTTACCTAGTACCCTAGGATTTAAGAAGAAAGAGAAAAGTTTAAATATATTCCCCTTCTTAGTTCATACTACTCTCATCATTGACTCCATTCCCAAAGCTAACCAACTCTAAGGTCATTTGATGATGCACCCTTCATCTTCCTCTTCAAGACAAATGCTGTCACACTCTAACAAAGTCTTGGTGATGTATCCCTCAATCCCCTCTTGGACACCTTGCATATGTGTACTTAATAGGTAGCTTAGTATGGGTGTGCTAATGCTTTATGTACTAACCTGAGAGTTGTGTATTTGAAAATTTGATTTTTCATAAGAAAAAAATGAATCTCTTAGTTGATTAACTCTATTGATTTACCAGGAGAAAAGACACTAGCTATTGAACACACAAAAGCTTAACAAAATATAAATATAGTGTTTTAGAGTCCAAGCTTTTGAAATTGAAATTAAATTTATACTTTCTTCCAGTTCTCAAAAGCTCCTAGGGCCCATGTATCTCACCATCTTTATGTTCCAGTAATCTTTAGATTGATACTCCTTGTACAAAACTTCACTCTCAATCACAAAATTCAACCACATCCACTGTCCAGATACAGCTAGTGTCCCCTCATTCTACCAACAAATGGCATAACAGTCTGGGTGAATAGAAATAAACACCTACAACATACGTTATCAAAGTTCAGGATAATAGTTGATGACATGATTTCAAAACGAAAGTTGATCTAGGACCTTATCAAATAAATAGAAAATTACAACAGTAGAGTAGCAAAACTCCAAAAGCCAGGAAAAAGTATTTAACAGGCATTAAGAAATTAAGACAGGACTAAAAGTCAACCCGATAGCCAAATCCAACTACTGAATTCTACACCACCAGAAAAAATTAGAGTTAGTTATGATCATAACTTTGCAGTCTGAAACCAAAAACAGCCTGCCTAAAAAATCACCAAGTCCAAAACTGAAATTACTTTACTTTCCGACCTAACCAACCCTATTCACAAAATCAGGAAAAGTCAACATTATTATCTCATAGAGCAATTAAAATTGTCTTCTAAATGATTTGTGTAAGTTATGTTTCACAAGCCAGCATACGTCCCATGTACAAGATCGAACGCATACCTAAACTGGTGACATTATTAGTACTTATGACTGTCGGTGACAGTAAAAAAAAATGAAGGGACAATACTATTATCAAACTAATACAAAATAATACGCAACCTAGAAATACTTCAAGCATAAGAAACTATATTATTCCATAATTATTAACCATAAGAATTATGAAAAAATAGATGCACAAAATAAGAACTAGAATGCATGGAGGAAAATGGTAAGATGATAAAGCTATTTGGGAAATTATCAATGATACCCCCCGGGTTTTGACTTCTATCAATGATACACATCATTAAACTTTCATTATTACTGGTACACCTAAACTTTTCCCTAAATATCTACCGTGACCTTGACCGTTAACTAAACGTTAATGAAGCTCTGTTCAGCGTTTTAAAGGTTAATTTCCCTCATTTAATTTCCCTCCAAATTTCCCTTCCATTTTTCCCTCATTTTTTGTGAAATTTCCCCTACTTATACACCTTCCCTTCCTGTTTGCACTCCCCCTTTCCATTCACGCTCTTCTTTTTTCTTTTTGCTTCCATTTTTTTTTTTCTCAGGAAAATCAATGGCTTCATCTGGCAGGACTTCCTCTGGCAGGGCTTCATCTTCAAGCAATAGAAATGGAAGAGGTGATTGGTTTAAAGTCATGAATTGCAACTGCCAACCTCCAAGATCTGCAGACATTAGGTTTTCTAACTCTACAGCTAATCCTGGAAGGCCATATTATAAATGCAGGTTATGTGAATTCTTCATGTGGGTGACTGAAGATCAGATTGTAAGGGACATAGGAGGGAGGCAAGGTTCCATGGCTGAAGCAGCGTCTGTACAAGCATTAAGGGCAGAATTTACAGAGTTTATGCACAAGACGGATGAATTTGTTGATTTTGTGTAATTGGTTGTGAAATTGGATGTAGTGATGTATTGTTGATTGTTGTTTTGAAATAGTTGCCTTTAATTTGTTGGTTTGAAATAGATGAACTAAGTTGTATTGGTGTTTTGCTTTGAAATAAATGAAAGTGGTGTATTTTGGTATAATCTTGCAAGTTTTTAACTTAATTGTACTTTTTTAAGTGCAAAAATAATAGCAATTAAGTACTGAAACTTATTTCATACAAAAACTCATATATATCAATCTAGCAATTAAGTAATGTTGCATTGCCATACAAAAAGTCATAGCAAGTACTGCTGCCAATTTAGTACTAAGTTCAATAATGAAATAAAACAAGTTCAACGGTACTTAAAGCTTATAAAACCTGTTCAAAAACCTACATAAGTTTGTTAAAAGTAAATCAAAACCTACAGAACTACTCATGCATCTATGATATCAGATGTCAAGGTTGAGATTGTGACAAGTCTTGTGGTTGGCTTGCTAATTGTGATGATGAGAGCTATGCTGCAGCATCTGCAGCTTTGGACTGCGCTCTAGTTTGCCTTAGCAGCATTTGATTGATCCATCACTCTTGGGTTTTTAACAACCATGGCCTGAAATGACTTAAGTTCCTTTCCAGTCAAACCCCCTTTGCAAGTTCTAGCATTGTGCCCTAGATTCCCACAGTTGCTGCATTTAATTGTTCTAGACCTCTTCCCTGGTTGGTCTTCACCCTCTTCTCTCTTCCTGTTTCTACTTGGCCTACCAACACCTCTCTTCATCTTAGGGGGATAAATGTGAAGGGGGTGGTTAGCATCAACAGGTGGCCACTGACTTGAATCAGGAACAGGGTTTATAACATAGCTATAAACTTGCTTCTAGGTTCTTGCAGTATACCAGGAACTTACATAATTGTGAAGATCAACCTTAGCATGGACCATTGCCCTCACTGCATGCCTGCAGGGGATACCAGAGAGTTTTCAAGCTCAACATGAAATTTTGGTGTTAGAGACTTAGAGGAAACTGGGACTTCCCCTCATGTATCTCATACTCTCCTAGACTTGACTGAAAAGCTCTGCAGGTGGAGGTTGCTTTGCTGATTTCCCTAACAGCTTTGCAATTTTGGGGCATAAATCATTATCCTCCCAACTTTGTGCTCTCTCACTCCTTGAAGCAATCCTGACCATACACCAATTATGCCAATTACTATTATTAGAACACAAAATCAATTGATCTTTTATGAGAAGTAATAATGAGTCAAATGTAGAAGTATTACCTTTAAGCAGGGTTAAGACAGGTCTGCACCTGTCAACACCTAGTATGGAGTTAAAACGCTCCATTTTGACTGATCTCCTAAATCAGCAAATCAAGTCATAACATCATCTTCTCCTTCCTTTTGCAACTTTTCCATTGCTTTTCTAAAGGTGAACTGATTTGTTGCATTGCATGCCCTCCTAAACAAAGTATACATCAAAGGACCTGGAAATTCTTCTTTTAAATTCCTGCTCAAATGTCTGCAGCAATACCTCCTTTTTGCATCAGGCCATACTTGTGTCAGAGCAAGATGGTTGGTGCAAGCCACAAAATACTCTAGGTTTAGTACTAAAAAGTTATGTACAGAAAAGCTAAATTCAACGGGTACCTTCTGTCTGTCAGATATAATTGTCCAATGTTGTTGCTTAACTATGTTGTGAAGATGCCAGAAGAAATATCCCCAACTTTCTTTGTCTTCGGCTCTCACTATGGCATATGCTATTGGATAAATCTCATTGTTGCCATCTAATGATACTGCAGACAGTAGAATACCACCATAGTTGCCCTTCAAATGTGCCCCATCAACCCCAATCAAAGGCCTGCAACCTCCTAGAAAACCCTTCAATTGTCCAGCAAAACTTATGAAAATACTTTGAGAACAGATTGACCCTAGGAATGCTTTCACTTAGTTCCCAAGCTACAAATGCCTTTGACTCAGGATTAGTAAAGCATATCATCATGACCACCAAACAGTTTTTCAATCACATACCTCTTCAGTCTGTACAATGAAGCTTGTTTCATATATACTCCAAACCTCTAAAACAGGAGTTCATTCAATGCTTGCCTGGAATGTCAGGATCAGCCCTAATATCTTCCATCACCTTAGGAGCAGCCCACTTCACAGAACAGATAGGGTTATAGGTTTCCAAACCCCTACAGTTATGAACATCTGGCCATATTTTCTTTATTGCCCATGTCTTACCATCAACTAACCTACTAGCATGTAATCTCCACTCACAACACTGTGCATGTCACAGTGTAAAGCAAAACCTTCCTACACTGCATAATCTTTCAAAGTTTCCCTTAAATGAGCCTTGTCTATGAAAATCATCCAGGGTCTAAGTACAATCTTCCCAAATTTCACCTCTTCATACATTTCACCATGCCCATACAGCTGCTGAAAAGTAGTCATCATCATCATCATCATCATCTATAAAACCAGATCAAAAACCCTGCTCCCAATTGTCTTCTATTTGGGGAACCTCTCCCATCTCAACCAACTCATCTTCTGGTACATCACCATCTGAATCTTCATCTTCATCTTCATAGACACACCACCAATATCATCATAATCCCCATCATCACTATCATTATAATCCCCATCATCACTGTCATCACAACCCCCATCACCACTAGAGTCACTAACAAAATTGACTCTCCTTCTAGCATTTGGTTCACTGCTTTTCTCAACCTCATTTGGCTTAGCACTGACTCTAACTTTAGCACCAGTCCAAATGCTCTTCCTAATTTGTGTACTCTTAGGAATTTTTCTAGAAAAAAGCAAGGGGTTAGTGGTTGGATTTGGACCTCTAGTGTTTGGACTAGATGAAAAAATGGCAGTAGATTGCTAGGTAGTAGTTTGTGCTGGTGAAAACCTAAGGCTTCTTCTAACAGCTAGTGTCTTAAAAACAGTGTGTACTCTTAGGAATTTTTCTAGAAAAAAGCAAGGGGTTAGTGGTTGGATTTGGACCTCTAGTGTTTGGACTAGATGAAAAAATGGCAGTAGGTTGCTAGGTAGTAGTTTGTGCTGGTGAAAACCTAGGGCTTCTTCAAACAGCTAGTGTCTTAAAAACAGTGTGTGGTGACATAGGAGATGGGGGTAACTTCTCACCACCAGAACATATGGCTTTACCCTTACCCTTGCCCTTTGCTATACTTCCTTGCCCTTACCCTTACCTTCACCCTTACCCTTAACCTTCTCCATGTACTTCTCAAAATCCTTCCTACCCTTAGTGTAATCTTTTGCAGACTGGTTAGCACTATTCAGTTCAAACTCACTGAAGGTAGCATCAGGGTCATAATTTAAAATCCTACTGTCAAGCTCTTCTAATAAGGGGTTAACAGGAGATTAGGAATTGTTGCTTGAGGAGTTGATTGGTATGTCAATCTCAATCTCCTCCTAGGTTGTAGCTTGCTCCTTCCATAATTAGAAGGGTGTTCAAGTGAAGTAACAGGGTTTGCCCATCAGCAGAAGGGTTTGAAGCTTGGTCAAAAGGATTGACAGCTTGGACATTAAGAGGTGGTACATCTTCAGGTGGTAGTTGATTAACAAGTGGTACATTTTCAGGTGGTAGTTGATTAAGAGGAGGTGGTTCATGTAAAGCTTGGTCGGCTTGTTCAGCAGCTCTATTTTCAGGTGGTAGTTGATTAAGAGGAGGTGGTTCATGTAAAGCTTGGTCGGCTTGTTCAGCAGCTCTATTTTTTTCCCCCTAAACTCAGACACTAATTCATTCATGAAAGTTAGAATTTTCAGCAGTCCCAACCAAAATCTCAAAAATATCAGCATCAGGGATGGTCCTAAACATACTAATCATACCACCATCATCCCTAATAGGCACATGCTTTCCTTTATATGCATAAGCAAATATAGGGTTCAATATAACTACTCCCTTTTTCTGTAACCTATCTTTAAATTCTATCATCAAATCCATGAGATTGCACATATCTAGATCAGCTTCAATGTCAACATTATGCACCTTATACTTAAATCTCAACACAACCTTGTCACTCATTCTGCAAAATCAGATTAAACTAATTTAAACCTAGGCTCAACATGCACACACAAAAACACGCAAACATGATCATATGGAATTATATATCTAAAAAAATCCAAAATTTACCACACAAACATGATCATATGGAAATCGAGAATGATTAAGAGCAAAATCCAACACCAATTCCAGATTGTTATCATAACCAACAAATTACACAAGCATACATACATTAACTTAAACCTAACAATTTAAACCAAAAAAATCCAAAATTCAAGAGAGAAATAAGCACTAACCTTTTAAAATCCACAAAGTATCGCTAAATCTCCAAGGATTTTGCTTCACTCCAGCGTCAATTAGGGTCTTATAGAAGAAGAACAGGGGAGAGAGTGAAGAAGATGAACGATCAAATTTTTGGAATTTAATGTTGTTGGTTGGGCTTGGAGGGAGGGTTAATGCGTGGGGGGGCATTTTAGTCAAGCCAAGTCAGACCAACACAACTTCATTAACGTTTAGTTAACGGTCAAGGTCACGGTAGGTATTTAGGGAAAAGTTTAGGTGTACCGGTGATAATGAAAGTTTAATGATGTGTATCATTGATAAAAGCCAATACCTGGGGGGGTATCATTGATAATTTCCCAAGCTATTTTAATGCATAGTCAGTTCCAATGTAAAATGATTTCAAAAAATAAAGAATGAAAAAGTATATGAAGGTAATTTTTGATTCGCTGGCTAAGGGTTATCTAAGAAAATGCATGGAACAACACTAAAATAGAGAATTAGCTCTAATAGTGATCTAAAAGCCTAGTAAGTAATAAATGCAAGTACCTCATACGTCTTGATTATCACTTATTCACCTCAACTAGTAAGGGTAAAAGCTTTATGATACTCACGAGATTTTAATGGAATTGTCTACTGTAGAAAAGGACTCATTGTAATTTTTTCAATGTTTCTAGGAATTCTTAAAGGGAGGCCCTACAACCTAGTGTCTTCAAGTATAAGCCTTCAAGTATTTCACATAAAACTTTTTGGGTAAGAAAAGGAAAGTTGTGTTGAAACTTTTTGGTATTATTTGATAGTATAATGTCAATCTGAGTTGGGCAAAGGTAGGGTAAAAGTGAAAATTTACTTTACAAAAATAGAAATAAAGCAAAAGTATAAAATATCAAGGGACATGATTTTAAATCTTGGATGTGATCTTGATCGCGATGATGGCCATATAAACACTTTCACGGGCAATGCAGGTGGAATGCGGCTATGACGGCCTAATATATCAGTAAGCTTAAATTCCTTTACAATGTGGTTGGGCAGTTATGCGGCCGAGATTTAGTGCCATGCACAAGAGATAATGAAATGCAATGATTTTTTAGTTTAACAATAACTATACCAAAATACCATGTATATCTTTACATCAAATAAATACTCATAACTAGTATCTTTGTCATATAATACCTTTTTCAACCTACACCTATAGAAAAATACTAGGGTTGTATAAGAGACATTAAGGCTATTGATACTTTTAGATATTATTTTGAAAAATATGAAAACAAAAATGTAGGGAATATGGGAAAATCTTTTTAATTTAACAAGAACAAAGTCACCTTCCAGTCTATTAGTCAATGTAAAAATATCTAAAAATATTCATTCCTTTATGAAATGTATGATAAGGTGCCCATTTCATTTCAAAAATTTAGGTTAGAACTCGTGTGTTTGTGTGATATATGAACTTAATAATAAAAATTATGAAATTTGTTTCTAACAATATTATAAATTATATGTAGTAGTTTTTTCCTTATATATATACACTCCCTCCATTCTTTTTTTTATCTTCCTACTTACGGTTCATAGTAAGTGGAAAGTAGGTCCTTTTTTTTTACTTTTTAGGTAGAAGAAAGAAAATTGTTTAAAAACATTGCTATTATTATATTGTTTTATGTGGATCATGTAGTTGGGTAAAAAGTGATAAAAGTGGAAATTTTCCTTAACAAAAAAGGAATAAAGATAAAAAATAAGAAATAAAAACATATCAAAACGGAAAGTAGAAAAATAAAAAAAGAACAGGAGTATATTACATTTTATTTTATTTAATTGTTAGGATTACTTACTATATACTGTACACACTACATACTATTTTTCAAAATATGCAAAGTGATTATCAACCTGGGTAGTTGTAAATTTACTTGTATATATTTACAACTCCTTATTTATTGATATGTTATTAATGGATTCAGTATAAAAGTATATTATGTATATCAGAGAGGCAAGATCCAATAACTCATATAGAGTTGTATATAGTAGTATAAAATAGAAAGAAATACTTCTAAATTTTTATTTTTTAAATTGAAAAGAATATGGTGGGAAAACTTTGCACATTTTGACCCATGTCATAGTTGATATGTCTTTTAAAATTTAAAAAAAAAAACTAACTCTAAAAATTTATGCTCATATATATTATACTCCTTCCGTTTTCAAGACCATGCATGCGACTACTTTTGCTTTAAAGAAGAGAGGGGTGGAGAGTAAGGGATGTATTTAACATAATTGGCTCCACAAAGTGAGGTTGTAATTGATAAAAAAATAAATAAAAGATAATTATAAAAGGAATAAAGTAAAAGTGAATAGAACTTAAGAAAATGGATGAAAACGGAAAGTGAGTGAGAGAGTATCATCCTTAAATTAATATACGCTCTATTTAAAAATAAAAATAAAAAAAAGGAAATATTCTAGCCTTCTACGATATCTAACAAAAAGAATTATAAAAAAAGTTGTAGGACAAACTTCATGGTGTCTTTACTCTTTGAGTACTTCGTATAAAGTATTGTATTCCTTTGCTAAAGTTTTCTCAAACCTTTATGCTTTCAACTTGAATGTTTTATCCACTCTTTTAAAACTTTCTTGAATTTTATTTTTGATTTTCTTTTAAAACTCTCTTAATTTTTCTTGAATGCTCTTTCGTTTACTCACTTTTTTTCAAAATTTTTTAAATAATGGTTTTGTTATGTCTGTTTTTGTGTATCATACGATTCCTTATGACAATTCATGTTAGCCGATCCCAAATCATTATAGGACTAAGGCTTTGTTGTTGTATAAAGTAATTCTTGTGACATGATAAAGCAATAATTTTCTACATAATTAAAAGAGAAATTAACATCGGTTTTTAATTAACATAATAAAATGAATTTTTGCTTGAATAAAATTTTATTTTAACGCATTGCTTCATCTAAGTTCATCATTTTTTTAAGTTTTTGAAAATGTTTGGCGGAAGCATTTTAGGTAATGGTTAGCATTTGGACAAGTCAAAACTCTAGTAAGAAAAAAATAAGTGTTTGGTAAGGTAGCGCTTCATGTAATAGTGGTCGAGGTAGCGTTTTGGTAACTTTTCTTAAACATAAAAAATGTTAGCATTTCAAATTTTTGGTTACTTTTTATATAATATGTATGGCTTTGCTTGTATTTTAATATCTCAACCGCTATTTTTGCCAAACAATCTAATATCAACCGCTACATTGATATCTAACCTCTACCCACTGCTAATAAAACTACTAGCTACTCCTATTCGACATCTAAAAACTACCCGTTACCACTATTTTTGCCGTAGAGGACCCGAATATAATATATTGAAGATATAAAATATTATTTCAATTAGTAGTACATGGAAGAAATATGATAGGATTGATAGCCAGATGGAAAGGAAAATATTAAATTGTAAGAAAAAAATTTCTAAGAGGATTGCCAAAAATATTTAGATTTTGCATTTATTATATATTATAGTTATTGTAGATAGATACTAACTTCCTGTGTATATTAAAGGGAGATTAAACTTCACATAATCTGACAGACACCCCAGTTGTGTCGATCAAAGGCTGCTATCTCTTTTTACCAAACTATAACAATACTTGTTTGGGAAACAAGAACCCCAACAAGTAGACATGGCAAAATTGAAAATTATTGAATAAAGGGGATCAGCATGTAGAGTAATACTTTTGCTTTCCACACCATCCTAATAAGGCATTCCCAAAGAGATATTCGTAATTTAATACAATTCTTCTCTTTCCCATACACCAAACTTCTTTCCTCCCTCTATCACAATACTTATGCTGTCCTTTATTTTTCTCTCTTTACCCATTCTACTTTTATTACCATCTTTAACCTCTTAGGTTTAGAGGTACTGGATTAAATGGATTACAACATGTTTAAAATGTGGGAGCTATAGACAAGATTAAGTTTTAAAGCTCAAATTACAGGTTACAACAAATTTGGTGTGTTGAGAAATGAGACTTTTTAACACATGTACAAGAACATACAATATACAATTTAGGAATGTACTTTAAGAAGAAGCAACCTGAAATCTAAACTGACGCACGAACATCTAGGAATAGCCAATATACTGAAATATATAATCAAATTCATTTTTTCATATCATAAACACTTTTTAATTTTCTCTCCGTATAATACTCTCTAATCTCCAATAAAACAAATAATGATGGCAATAGCACTGCATTAGAAGCAAAGTATTTTATTTAGGCAACTGTCCATCCTACACAGGCTACATAATATGTTTAGTTAATCCATCTCACTTCACAATAAATAATCAAGTAATCAATGTCCAAAATTGCATTCCATATGGACAAATAAACAACAAGAAAAAATTCTCAAGTTTCACTATAAGATCAAAATCCAACTACATTTACAAGGAAAATTTATTCCCTGTCTTTATTGAATCTCCATGAGAGGTGTGTGAGATTCACAGTTAATATACCTAAGCCCCTTAAGAATGGACTAAAAATATATCTTATAACACCTTATAAATTGAGAGGGGAGTTTAATGAAAGTGCATTCTTTACCCGTTATATACTCAATCTCTGATTATATATTACAGAAAATTAATTAAAGTAACGCCAAACATATATTATGCTATAATGGTGCCTAATATATTTAATGACCAGTGAGAAATAGTAATGTTCCTTACCAAGGTTGGTTGAAAAAGTCACTTCGATGCTCTTTCTGAGCATTCTGAACTGCGTCACCAGCAACAACCTTCAAATCTTTATCCTGAGAAGCAATTAATGTGTTAACAAACTCTGCAGGTGAATGACTAAAGCCAACGAAAAAAGCTTGTCTTTGCCGATGCTCATTGATCTTCTTTATAGCAGCAGCAATGGATTTGTCATAATCATCTATTTCTTTGCATTTCTCCATCTTTTCCAGGACTGCAGACATATCCTTCTCTAAAGGAAAAGGAACATCAACAAGCACATCATAACACACTTCCGCTGGGATTGTTTCCAGAAAGCTTAATCTTATGCTCCAAATGTATGGGTTGTAGAGGAGTTAAATGTTGAGTGAGAATCTGTGAAGCCACAGCAAACTTAACCTTCTCTTCACCAAACACTTCTCGTAGAGGTGGGTCGCAAATAAAGAATGCTGGATCATTCGAGTCTTGCAACTTCTTAATCTTCACATAGTGCCACAATGCAGCCATGATTCTTGGGCGAGTTTCTGCCTCAAGTCCAAGAGCTTGAGTAAGAGCAGCTGATAGTTTAAACTTCTCTGGATCATAAATCATTTCAAGCCTTATAATTGCGGTAAATTCCTTATCTCCCTTCCTTTTAACCTCAAATCCTTCATGAAGCAAACGAGAACGAGAATTCTCCCATACTATTACATGGTTTCAGGATAAAGGGTCTGATCTAAGCATATGGTTATTTTTTTGAAGAAAGAAGAAAATTTTGGGAAAGGAGTGGACCTATTATCCATAGTCCCGGAGCTGGAATCACCCCCATTTTCCAATATATTCCCAATTATCTTAAGCGTCCAAGTAGGAGTTTCGGAACTCTTATTTTCACCATTTTCAAGTGGCTGATTGGTAAAGTGTTGAACAAATATATACGAAGTGTTTTCTGAACACAGGGAGGCCTTTTTACAGTTTCCTGAATATCTGTTTTCTTTCTAGCAAGGGCAGCATCAACCTTGGCTTCCAATTCCAATAATTGGGTGTAAATAGCACTTTCTGGCAAAAGGGCTGCCACTTTCTCAGGTAATTTATTCTCCGGAACCTTCCTTTTCTTCCTACGAGCAGCCGGAGCAAGCTCCATTGTCTTAAACGGAGTACCACCACCAGTCCCAGAAGAACTTTGAGGCTTACTAGAATTTTTATTATGACTCTTCTTGGTATTCGCAGAACCAGTAGCAGCAACACCCACAGACGAAGAGACTCCAGCATTACTACTATTAGTCCCTAGGTTCACAACACGGACATTAGACTTCCCTGGAACTTGTGCAGCTTGAGCACTCTGCGGTTGAGCCATTGCCAGAGTCTCCGACAATCGAAAATTACCTGGCAAATGAGACCCACCAAGTGTTTGATTATTTTCCTGAGTGACTAACTGAGATTAATCAAGCGATACAGGCCCGTCCCTGAGCCGGGGCACGAGAGGCAACCGCGGGAGAAAATGTCCGTTTTCAAAGTTCCGTCCTAACATTACAAGGTTATAAACAACATCCTGCACCACAATCGCAACCCAATTTCACTCAATTATCAAAGAATGCACGAAATAACACATAAATTCAACACTCAAGAATAAGAACGCAAATTAAACATAGCAAAATTCAATCAACAAAAATCGCTCGTTATAATCATTCATGAATTCCGTAATTACAACCAATAGTTCATTAATTTACCTTAGAAGAAACCTAAATGAACAATGCTGACAATTTTAATTTTTTTGAAACAAACAATGCTGACAATTAAATTAACGATATTGGATGATTTGAGAATAAAGAAAAAAATTACCTCAGAATCTTCTTCAATGGAGGAGAGAAAGCTTACAAGCCGCTTTAATGGAGAATTCAGTATTACAATGGAGAGCTGAGAGGGCGCTTCAATAGAAGAGAGAGAAAGAGCGAAAGGAGAGGTGAAGCGTGAAAGTGAAAAACTGAGGGGTAAAATATATATATATATATATATATATATATATATATATATATATATATATATATATATATATATATATATATATATATATATATATATATATAGTAAAATAGGCATTTTTTAAGAGCATTTGGAGCGTCATGTAAGAAATATACTTATTTCGACTAATAAGAGGAAAGATTTGTATTTTATTTTTGAATTAAAAAATTATGTCGCCACCTAGATAAAAGTAACAAATTAGATTTGATATATCTAAAATTTTAATGCCACGTAGATTATAATCCACGAATTAAATTATTTTAATGAAAAAAATAAAGTAAAAATATAGGAAAAGATAAATTTATTAATTCAATACTAAGAGTATAAGAAATCCAAAAAAAATATACTAAGAAATATTTAAATGATAAACGCTTATAATAAAGTTTGATACCTATCATTATAAGATACATTTTGATAGTATTTATGATAAGAAATACAAATTGTTCGTTAATTATAATTAAATTAAAATTTGTGATATCTACCATTATAAATTGACACATCATACGACACAAACAAAATTTTGTATCAATAAAAAAAAACCCTATTGATAAAAAGCCCCATCAAGCGAATTTTGTGTTAGTAATTTTGTGTTAGTTTTTGGTCATCAATGGGCGGGTAATTTTTAGCTTAATTTTTATAATCCTAAGTTTAAATTAGTATTTCTAATTATTACTTACATTGTATTAATTTGGGATACTCAACGATTATATGTTTATGTTTTATTTACTAAATGTTTTTTTACATGCAGATCTACTACATCATACGACACAAATAAAATTCCGTATCAATACAAAACCCCATTAAGCGAATTTTGTGTTAGTAATTTTGTGTTAGTTTTAGGTCATCAATGTCCGGGTAATTTTTAAAATCTTATGTTTAAATTTATATTTGTAATTATTAGTTACATTGTATTTATTTATGATACTTAACGATTATTTGTTCATGTAATGGCATGCGATTAGATGTTGTATACTTAATATATGGATGGCTTTGGTTATTTTTGGAGATGATGAAAAAATTCCAATGCATAGATTTGATTTTATATCGCAACAATTTTTCATTTATTGGTAAATATATTAATTTATTTTATATAAATATAAAGATTTAATTTATATCAATTTCAGTTTGGCTAACATTTCACGGTTCAATTTATCCATTGATGTAGTAGGTTGGTTGTGGACGATGTTGGTGAATCTATCGAAATAAAGGATATGGTAAAACAATGAATAATGATTTAGGATTTAAATTATTAATAATTTATCATTTCACATTAAAGATTTTATATAACGGAAAAAATATCATATTTACAATTTATTTATATTTAATAAATTCATTATAAATTATAGTAAAAATAAATAAATATTAAACTTTTGTAATTTTGTCTGAAATTATTAAATACAATAAATCAAATAATTAAAAATCTTACATGAAAAAACCGTGCATCGCACGGGCTTCCATCTAGTGAAAACAAAAGGAAAAATGAAGTAGATTAATGAAACGCATGTAAAGATTGTAAAGCGTCAAATTTGGATAACATCGACAGTCAATTCATTTTCAATTTTTCATTTACTAATTTTTTTGCTTGCTTCCAATTTTTTTATTTTGACAATAATATATAATTCAATTTTTTTAAAAAATTGTTTTTGTTAACATATATAAACTACTTTATTTTTCTACTCTTAAAAGTCGTATCAATAATAATGCACCACGCGCAAGTTCTATCTTTAGATTTTTATTTTTTAAAATAAAACTTCATAGACCTTTTTTTTTTAATCAAGTCTAAATGTCAATAATCTTGACATTAGTATAGGTATAAATAAAATTCAAGTTATATTTATTTTTGAAATAAGTATTACGAGTATAAATTTTTATAAAACTCAATAATAACCCTTTATAAAATTTAATGACAACTGTGCAATGCACAGGACTTAAACTAGTTAAAGATAAAATACAAATTTTAATGAGTGGCTAGCCACACGGTATGACCGAAGTTACTCAGTCAGGGGTTATTCAGTCATGAGTTAATTGATTGGTCAAAGATTACTCGGTCAATGTTTTGGTGTGTGTCAATTTGCCGCACGGTGTGGCTAGCCAGATCGGGTTACTCAATCAGGGGTTGTTCGATTGGTCATGGGTTACCCGATCAGTGTTTTGGTGTGCATTAACTTGCCGCACAATGTGCTGCCAAACCAAAAAAGCGAGAAGCTAAAATACTACATGAAAATAAATATCTTAATTTGCAAATATGAAATTATAAAGGTAGACTGTTGGGCTTAGTATCCGACTAACAATGTAGATAGTATGACTCGTATGAGTTTAATTGACAATATTTCATCATCGACATATGAAAATTAATAAAACAATATCAAATTTACTAATATATGTACTAATGAAAGATGAATTAAATTGTATAAATTAATTAACTGATTAAAAGTTTAGAATTATGTACTCCCTCCATTCTTAAATAATTGACACAGTCAAACTTAGCACACATGTCAATGAACTAGTTTGACCTTGAATATGTATGATTAAATATTAGTAAAAAAATATTAAAAAAAAAACTTGACATTATGAAACTTTATATTAATATTTATTTAACAATATATCTCATGATAAAATTTGTTTTCATATGTTACTAAAAAAGCTATAGTCAAAGTTAGTATATGAATAATGAAAAAAAGTCAAACACGTCAATTATTTAGTAATTGTTGGAGTACTAATTGATTAATTGTATAGACATAAAACAAATAATGTAATTTGTTAATTTTTGTAGTTAATTAATTCAAATAATTTTTTTTATCTGATTATTTGTTGATTGATTAATCTTCCCTTTTTATTTGCTGATTGATTGATCTTTTCTTTTTATTTTCTGGTTGATTAATCTTTCTTTTTTATTTGCTAATTCATTGATCTTTCCTTTTTATTTTTTGATTGATTAATCTTTCCTTTTTATTTGCTGATTAATTAATCTTTCCTTTTTATTTGC